GTGTTTGGGGAGGTGGATAAAAGAAATTAATAAATAATGCTCTGAGTACTTCAACGTGAGTAGAAGAATCTCTCTAACTTCTTCCTTTGCTCTCTTAATCCCGCGTCTTTAAGGAGCAACCTTCATTTCAGGAATGCAATAGTCCCATTTCCATATAAGGTATGGGACTGACGGAAAGGTCTGTCACCGCCCCGTTCTGCATGCTGCAGCGAAGTGTACCTCCCCTCTGTGGCCCAAAGTTAAAAACTGTTGTTCTTCTGAGGTCCTCAAGGTGGCGCTTGCGGCCCACAATTGGGCCATGGCCCACAGGTTAAGAATCTCTGTCCTAAATCACTCGTACGCACAACTTAAGAACAAATCTGTGCGTACGAACGGTTCTTGCATGTGGCCCATTGTTCTTAAATGCTGGTCTATTTGCTCATGCAGCAGTTCAAAAAGTGGTGAAGGTCGCTCCATCCTTACTTAAATGACTGAGCCTTTCAGGGATGCTCCCTTTATACTCCATGACACTCACCTGAACCTGTTCACCTGTGGAATGATCCAAACAGGTCTTTTTTGGAGCATTCCTCAGCTTTCCCAGTCATTTGTTGCTTTGTTGGAACGTGTTGCAGCATCAAATTTAAAATTAGTGAATATTTGAAATAAATAAATAAATAAATAAATAAATAAATAAATAAATAAATAAATAAATAAATAAAGTTTATCTGTTTGAACGATAAATGTCTTGTCTTTGTAGTGTGTTCAATTGAAAATAGGTTGAAATAGATTTGCAAATCATCATGCTCTGTTTTTTATTATGACTTACACAACATCCCAACTTCAATGGACTTGGGGTTGTACATGTGGTTATTTAGAAAAACGCTAATGTTTCTGCCTGTCTGGTTCATGTGTTTCTTTGACTATATGTTATTAAGAGTTTATTAAGCAATCAACAAATTTTATTGAACCTTCAGAAAAAAATCTCTGGATACGCATCAACAACTGATTAACTTTTGAAGTTGGTCCAATTCAAGATGGCCACCACAGTTAAATATGCTTAGAAAACACAAAAAATAACTTTAATCCAGTGGATCTTTCAGATTTTATGCTACAATTTGTTGCAACAGAAGCTGAGAGTAGTTTATAACAGATACTTTGAGTGTGATGTCTCTCAGTGTGGCATCCCCCCACAAAACAAAACAGCTAAATAAACAATAAAAAATATTAGTTTGAGTCAGGGATTGTAACGTCTGAGATGACATGATCGGCATGTTTACCATTCTTTCCTGTGCTGTTGTCAGATCCTGCAGCAGCTGTTCTGCGATGCTTTCAGACAGAGCCACAGTCAGAGTTTGTCTCATTTCACTGGATGGAGGAAAGAAAAAAGGGAATTAAAACTTGACTGCAGATGTTTAGGTGGTAGACACACAGTTTGGGTGAAATCAGTTGGTCTAATACTGAGTAAGTTGCTCTGGCATTAAATGCCTCCACAGCTAAAATTTAGCCAATAGTCTTCTGGGGTCTTACTTTTCAGGACCTAATCATAACAACCTGGTCTTCACCAAGTTTTAAAAATTATTCAAATCTGACCTCCATTTTAGTTTTTTTAATTGATGTTTCCATCAACCTTTTCAACAGAGCCCGCGAGGGGACACGGGGTGGGATTTTATTTTTTGTTTTGCGTTCCCACGCAATACTTTTGCGTTCCCACGCAATACTTTTGCGTTCCCACGCAATATTGTTTTGTGTTCCCATGCAAAAGATTGTTTTGTATATGAACTAAATTAAATGAGACTTTTATTTTGAAATATCCGGTTACCAAAACAGGATGTGTCGCCACAAGTTCGTGAAATTGACATTGATGTTGCGTGGCTGTGCTGTGTTAAAATATCGGCATATGACATACTTCTATGTGTGGCTGTGTGATATATTTATTCTGAAGCTGAATTAAAGCAGTAGACTAACTCGCTAATGGTGAACATATGAGTTTGTTAATAAAACGGCAGGCAGAACAGTGATAAACTACTTTTGTGAGGGAACGCAAAAGGTATCGCGAGGCAACGCAAAAGTTTTGCAAGGTAACGCAATACTATGCGTGGGAACGCAAAAGAAAAAAAATCTCCCATGTCCCCTCGCGAGCTCCGTACTTTTCTTATGCAATGTTTCAAAATGCAAATAAAAAATGTTGATGGAAACACGGCTACTGATAGAGACTTACTTAACCTGGCCCTTGCCTTCCTACGCAGCTCCGCTCAATTCTAGTTTCCCTTCACTGCTCCGTCTGGGACTTCTCCCATTGACAAGGATTTCGCGGGCAGATTTTTAGCCGGGCCAATCAGAGAACAGAACGTCGA